GCAATCGTCCACGACCCCTAGCACCGGCTTAAGCAGAATCCAACATTTAACATGGAAAGCATAGGAACTCTGGAACAGGACCGCATATTGCGGCGCATAAATCCGAATCCGTACCGGCTTTACATATTGTTTGTCTGGCCTTTGAATATATTTTCATATTATGCTAGCGTGTGGTCTTAAATTATCTAATCTCAATTTAATATAATCTGCTAATTTGAAAATCAGTCAAATTTACGGTATATTGAAAAAAGAAAAGGAGTGACATCCGCCATTTACCGCAACGTTCGGCGTAAGTTATCCCCCTTGATATACTTGATTTTTGTTTTAATTTTTCTAGTAATGAATACCAGACGAGGGCCTCAAATATTTATGGATCATGTTTTAATTTTCCTATTTTCAGTTTGGCAAAATCAGTTGGACCATATTACTAAAGTGTCTGTTTTCTCCATGTTAACAAATCAAAACACGAATACGCCCGTTATAATGCCGCCTATACATGTCAACATGTGTAAACAATAAACCGTGAACGTTATATCCGGACGATACCTGATAGTTGACAAAAATAACGGGAACAAAATTCTGATAAAATAGTAATCAATTGTAGCCAAAGGGAAAAAACTCATGCCGAAAACGTTGCGGCAAATGGCGGATGTCACTCCTTGTCTTTTTTTTATAATACCGTAAAATTTGACCAGTTTGAGACAGATTGGGTTCAATTGATAACATATTTTTTGAGGCCATATTCTCGGATAATACTAAAAGATATTTAGACGTAGCAGAAACGTTTTTAAAAACCGTTACACGATCGAAAATATGCGCCGCAATCTGCGGTCCCGTTCTCGAGTTCCTATGATGGAAAGGTATACTTTTAGAAACGTCCACAAATGAGTTTTTTTTCCAAAATAATGCCTATGTTTAAACACATTTTGTAACTGCTATACGTGTAACTTCACAGCGCACCATCGTCCACAATACATTAATCAGCCTGTTGCCCTGATTTTTGAAGGGTTTGTTTTTACCTTTGGGTTATTTTGGTAAGGTCAAAAGGCCTCAAACACAAACTTTGAGTTTTTACATAGATCAAGCGAAGCATTTTAAGTGATAAATATGCGAAGGATAATATACAAATATACTCAGATCGATAATTAGTTCAACTCTTACCCTGATTTTAGCGAAAAGCGTAGCAGCGGTTTTCATTTTTCGCGGCCATTTCGCAAAATAAAAATAATTATTCTGGGGAAAATTGGACAAGGTGCTGATCTGAAAATTTACACACAGTCTTGGTATTGGTTCAGAATTTCATTGAATGGTACCTAAATCTCAGAAAAATATTTCTAGAACCCTTATACCAAAAGTTCAGTCATTTGAAAAGCAGATAGATCTAATTCAAAATAAATTATACTAACACGTACTTTGTATTTTGAATAATTTTTTATGTTTTCATTTGCAGTCATTGTGCAAAATCTTAAAACAGTTCTACATATCAGAAAATTTGGAAAAGTGAAGAAAATTTCTATACCGGGATATCTCACAAGCGTCTATTTAATAAAATCAGTTTGCTCTATGACGGAAAATGAAATAATGAATATAAATTTGAAATCAAATAAATTGTTGCTTGTCACAGTGTGTTTGAATTATCTCCTTACTCGTTGAATAAAATAATATCATTTAAATGTTCATGAAAGGCACACTATACCTCAGTAACAAATACATTTTTACTTCTTCAGAAAAGGCAAACATGAATTTTATAATGTTTAAATAATGGTTTCAAGTAATGTTAGATGTTTGTTACTTGTAATAGCAGAGATAAATTTGAAATAATGTGTCTTAAAAGTAGCAAAATGTAAACAAAAAAGTAGTATTTTGACCTCCATACAAAATACTAATTCACTATAATTATACTTATTGTCCAAAAGCAACAGATAAGAAAGATAATACCAATGAGTAACATTTTTGATACTACAAATGTACACTAAAATAAAAAAGCTTTTGAGAAGTAAAAAGAAAAAGAATTCCTGAGGCATAATATACCTTTATTTTAAGTATTGAATATATACTCATTCAAAAACAACAACAACAACAACAACAACAACAACAGCAACAACAACAACAACATTTTATTTGCATATATGTCATAACAACATTATAGCTATAAACACGAAATCATGTAAACAGTGGTACATGCTCAAAATTCTCAAAATAAAAAAAAAATAAAAAATAAAATAAATGAATAAAATAAATTTAGTTCGGGAATCCTAAGGATGAATTAATTTTAATATCCTCTATTTCCTAAGCTCAGTTTATTGAGAAGGGGTTTCTTTACACTGTACATGTATTTGAATTGATTATTAAGGCCTTTTCTTTCGAATTAGAAAAAATCTGTCGAAATTCTTCTTTAATAAGAATAAATATTTCCTGAGTTTTACAATATTTACATCCCTTGCTAAAAGCAGTGGCCATTATAAAGGTCAATATTCTATATATAATATAATTGGCAAACTATAAAGACAGCTGATTTAGGTGAAATGTCAAAGTATTTTTTACATATGAAGGAAAATATTATTATAGCACTTATATGTCAAAGATTGTTTCATGAAGATGATAGAATTATGAAAGATTTTTATCTTATCTAATAAAGCTGCGTTTTCACTTACACCCGGCAGAGCCCAGGACCACCCCGGTAAGTTACCGGGATGATCCGGGACGATTCGGGGTGAAATTATTGTTGCGCTCACACTAACCCCGGCAGCACTACGGTAATCCCCAACTAATCACCCAGGATGCGCTTCGGATTATCCAGGCAGAGCCCAGGTGAAGCTACGGTTCATGCCGGCACTTTCCCGGTCGTTCCCGGATGACGCTGGAAGTGCCCCGGTTGACCCAGGCAGAGTCCCGGTCGATCCAGGCAGAGCCCAGGACGATCCAGACAGAACATGTTCTTTTACATTAGTTCCTTGGACTTATTATCTTAACAATGTCTTTGTAAATTACAGAAACTATGTAAGTATAGTTTTATACACTTTAAGGTAACTTAGTGTTTAAAATTATTTTCGTCCAATAACTTTGCAGTATTCCAAATGAACACATTTACTTGAGTAATTCCAAACTCCTCACAGTGATAACCTCCCACGGCAGATCTCTGTACTGATAAGGGGAGATCACTGCGTTTGAGACTGTAGTAAACCGGCTTACTTTTAAATCACTCTATTAAAATAGACTGTCAATAAAAATAATTTCAAACACTAAATTTGTAATTGCTCATTAGTAAGCATTTACCTGTCCACATTAAATTAATTTAGCGGCTGCGCTGTTTTTGACAAATTTAAGTTTGTAAATGCATACTAATAAACGCTAACCTTTACAAATAACTTCAGTCTTTCACAGTTTTACTAAATCACAAAATGAAGATGTCTACATATAGTATTAAAACACACCAATCAACAAACTGTTTTGAAGGAAATGACAATTTGTTGTTTAATATTGTACGATTTTTGAATTTCTTACAGCAATGATGATGATTAAAACGACACGGGTATGATATTTTGAAGTGATTAAAGGTATGCTATATACTTCATTACTTACAAAACAAATAATGACTTCACAAAATAAATAATTAATTAATCAAAATACCGGCGGAAACGTACAATTCTAGCATATCTTTTTCGGAGGATTTTGGCAATTTTCCCAACAAACGTAAACACAGAAGAGACATGCGAGAATTAAGTAATCCTCCCGAGGGTCAAACGCATAAATTCAGTTAATGTTTGATTGTGACAAATATACGTTGAACGTTGCTGTACTTTCCCAGCCAGATCTTAAATCTGGCGATAATTTAAATGGCCAAAAAAAGGAAACCCCCGTTTTTGTAATTTTAACTCCTGGGGTTCAGTTTTACATTGCCTTTTAAAAACTTGAATGTACGGGTTTTCTACTAAAAAGGGAGCTTTTATTTTCCCCGGGTTTCTCTTTGGGGTAGTTTTTTGGAAATGTTTTTGATGATGTTATTTGTTAATCACAAATTAGTTGTAAAATTCCCAGCAAATTTTGGCGACATGTGTTCACATATAAAAAATATATCTAAAGTTCCTGAAAATTGTCCTTGTGGAGCATTCCCTTTTTTCCATAATTTAGGGAATCCCTTTTTGTAGCCAGGATTTCGGGGGGGGAGGCCCCTGAAAAAAGAGACAAAAAATTTTAAAATTAATTTTAAAAACCCAAAATAATGGGGTTTTCCCACCAGATGGGAAACCCAAACCCGCGTTTTTGGGCAACCGCGCAGTTGATCAGGATTTCCCTTTGGTTCGCCCTTTCAATCTTTAAAAGTAAAGGAAAAAAAATAAAGGGAAAAGCCCCGGATTTCCCGCAGACTTTCGGAATGTACCCGGGGTGGTCTGGATTCATGTGGGGAAAAAACCCCTTATGTTTTGGGTTTTTTTTATGAGCGGCCCCCCTTCGTCACTTTTTATTTTTTTTATGTTTTTTTTCATTCCAAAATTTATTTTGAATAAAGGCATCCCAAAATTTAGAATTTGTTATTTATCGAATGTGTTACTTATCAACAATTTTGAATTATATTATGTAAGGAAGGTACCCAGCTGGCATACGGATGGTTTGTTGTTATAGTCTTGTTCAAGTAAACAAATATTTTGTCACTAGTACAGCGCAATGTGACTGTATTTAGATAAAATCCTCGATATCCATGTAGAATAATATATTTATTTCTCTTTTGGAACCAGAAAACAATATTCTATGTATCTATGTAAAAGAAACACTCTGGAAAACCGGTTAATGACGATGTTTAGCTTTCACATCAGTCACGATATCGATCGCTCCGCCCACTTGGTCATAACAAAATAAATTTAATCAAACTATCGGAAGAAATGAAATACGTACATTGACGTATAATTTTTCTATCTTGGCATAAATTGACTGTTTCCCTTAGTTTTGATTTGTATTTCAAAATATTTTAGTTTATTATAATCTAGAATAAATATTTTTCATATAAGGGCTCATTTCTAACAATAAAATGAACAAATCATACCTTCGTATGGTGGTGCAGGTGCGTCCGGTGGTTCCTTATTTTGCTGCCCTACCACAGTCGGCTGGTCTGATACATGTTGGAAAACTGGTTGATGTACATGGTACCCCGCATAGCCAGGATTATCCGGTGTGAATTGCTGTTGTTGCTGGAAACCAGTCTGACTTGGCGGAAACTGATGCACACCTATCGTCTGATTTGGATAATCCTGTGGTTGGTGCCCAGATTGTTCTCTGGATTGGTTCCCATTTTGAGCAGTATATTGTACAGCAGCTGCAAAGAAAAACATCTAAGTATAACAAAACATAACATAACATAACATAACATAACATAACATAACATAACATAACATAACATAACATAACATAACATAACATAACATAACATAACATAACATAACATAACATAACATAACATATCATATCATATCATATCATATCATATATCACATCATAGATCATATATTATCGATTAGCATCAACATAACATAACATAACATAACATAACATAACATAACATAACATAACATAACATAACATAACATAACATTTCTTATCATATATCACATCATAGATCATATATTAAGCTACAGTCTCACTTACATCCCGGCAGAGCCCCGGTAGACGTCCGGGGTGATCCGGGAACGACCGGGGTACAACCGGGAACAACCGGGGTGCATCCGTAACTCTGCCGGCAACGTCCTGGATGATCCGGGATGATCCGGGAACATCCGGCATTCGACCCCGGATGGAATAAAATATTTAATATTACCGGGATGGTCCGGGATGATCCGGGAAGGTATAGCTTTGCCGGCTTCATCCTTAGCTCTGCCGGGAACGACCGGGGTTATACCGGGAAAGCACCGTAGCTCTGCCGGCACAAACCGGGGATGATCCGGGGTATGATATAGCCGGTAGAGCTACGGTAGAGCTACGGTAGAGCCCCGGTATATGCCGGCAGAGCCCCGGTAACTACAGGCAGAGCCCCGGAGGATAAAGGTAGAGCTACGGTTGATCCCGGTAGAGCCCCGGCAAAGCCCGGATCATTTCAAAAGAATAACGACAATTTGCGATGATTGCACTTGTTTGTATTAAAATCCTTCCCATTTCCCTTCTATCCAGTATAGCATAAGGATTTATCAGAAAATCATCATGAATTACTATTCTGGAACAATATATGTTATATTAAATAAAAGTTATGTATCAATGTTATTATTTTCAGGAGTTTTCAATCCAAACCGGGGGTTTCCCGGGGGTTGCCCGGGTCGTCCTGGGGGTCTGCCGGGGGGTTTTTCCTTGGAAACACCCGGGGTTTTTCCTGGGTCAAACCCGGGGGTTTTTTCCCGGGGTCATCCGGGGAAAAGACCGGGGAAAAACCGGCATTTAACCGTGCTTTTAGGGGCTCTGCCCGGATGATCCGGAGCCATCCTTTGGGGGGTTAGTAGGGAACTTAAACCCTAGTGCTGCCGGGGGAAGTGGGGACCGCAAAAAATAAATTTTATCCCCGGGCCGTCCCGGTCATCCCGGGACTTAAACCCGGGATTTGGGCCTGGGCTCTGCCGGGGGTAAGTGAGACCGAGGCTTATCGAAAGCCCTATCATCAGATCATTAAAAATATGTCATTACTATGGGAGCCCATTTTAAAACCGTTTAATTTTAGTCTTTAAAAAGTGTATTCCAAGAAAATAAAAGATGCTTCGAAAAATATTCTGTTCTGTCAGCCATTTACTCGATCACCTTTGGTGCCATATTGAACCCAATTTTAAATATGATGGGGTGTAATAAAATGCAATTAATGTCACCTCACTGCATTTTATGTTCAGTCTAAATGACTTGTAAAAAGTAAGTTTGAAATAAAATTTATCATAATAAAGTTGCCTTGACGGCTACATACATCAAACCCTTTTCACATCAGTAAATGACTTACATTAAATTTTGGTTTTCATCTCCTTTTTACGCTTAGTTACGTAACAGTCATGTTATTGTATGAAAGTATCTGTTACTATAAGTAAATTTAAACTTTTCTAAAATATCCTTTGATAAATTATGTCCGCAACGACTTATTTCTAATTTGTTGTCATTTTGGACGCCTTCATGAGACTAAAAATAAACTGAAAGAATTAAATTTACATGTAAACGTTAATTGACAGCACGAGTCATTTTATATTGTGAATCAATGAAAACTTACATGTTATTTTGGGTAAAACTTCCTGTTTTGCAAAACGTATTTGTTTCATGTAACACCAAAACCGCTGCCATTTTAAATTTAAAATTACAGAATACATGTATACGTGTTTGAAAATAATTTCTGCCATATTTTATCTAAATATACAATTCTTATAATATAGCATCATCCATCTTGGAAGCCATTTTAAATGTTTCATTTTTCCTAATTGTGGCAGATTAAAACAGCCTGAATTATTTTTCAATGCAAATCTTTTCTACAACAATCAACATAGAAAGAACTATAATTAATTAATACAGAAATGTTACCTCCCTTTAATATAAAACTACAAATAGGGTAAAACCACATTTATAATGGACCCTCAACAGATCCTATCGTATAAGGAACTGGATTTTAATTAGATGGAAATATGTGTGACATGCAATCTCTACTATTATCGACACACAATTATCGGCATACAACGCTCATAAACGTTCATGAATATGTTATCTAATGTATTATAACACAATACACATCATATTGTATTTATATAATCATACTTTAAGGCCACTATCCTATGGGCAAATTATTGAATCTAAAACATTATTATAATAAAATGCAACCTTTAGATGTACCAAATTAAAATGTTTCATCGTCTGATACTGCTAGCCGACTTAGTACATTTCGCCTACTTCGATCCTAAATTTTAGTTTACAATTGACATCAGCTACAAGATTTTATCTTAAAATATCACTTAAATTAAGTCTTATTGACTAAATTCTCATGACCCCAAAGTGCGGTCGTTTGTCGGACGTTAAAAAGTGCACATGTACCTGTGTAACGCACTTTGGGGTAAAAGTCACGGACGTGATTGTTCGAGTCTCTTTAAGTACCTGAGCCCAGGACAGCAAAGAATAATAGGGATTATAGAAGCGCCGACTTTTTTTCCAGAAATAGTTCATATTTAAAAATAATTCAAAAGTACAATTTTACGTTAAAACTTTGCTATAGGGAATGTAACCGTTTTATGTTATTCCGGCGGAAACCAGCATATTTTAACAGAAACGCATTAATTTTGGTGTTCCATTTAATCATGATCCCTGTGGGAGCAATATAATAATGATGAGCGTGTAAAATAAGAACTCTTTGTGGTTTATACATGTAGTACTGCCCGAAAGATAGCAGAAGTTGTTGGTTTATCAATCAACTGTTGAAGCGATTGAGCCTTCTACATAGCTATGTAGCGTTTGACCCAAAAGTGCAGTGTCACATGGCACAATCTTTCAGAAACGAACTAACGTCTTTATGATTAACCAAAACATATCAATTTCTTCGAGATTATACAAGAAAATACGATTTTTAGTAGAGAGGGAAAACCCAGCTTTATGCCATTCCTTGAAATGTTGCAAAATGACTTCAAAATTAAAGCTACAGGAAAAAATGGGTCATAATGGCCCTGGAATCGCTCACCTGGATATAAAACTCCGTGAAAAGGAACAAGTAATAATTGAAACTATAAACAATAGCAGATATAAAATCTAACCCAAGGGCTTTTATTTGAACAAACTTTGTAGACACCCATTAGCAGATTTTCTAGCTATATGGGTTTTGTAAAAAAAAGTTTTTTTAAGTTTTTACTATATACATATAAGGAAAATTAATGACCTCCGGGCGGGACCAATTTTGACCCCAGGGCTTTTATTTGTACAAACTTGGTAGACACTCACTAGAAGATGTTTCGCACCAAATATCTAAGCTCTTGTCTTTTGGGTTTTTTAAAGAAAATTTCATAAACTCTTTCTTTCGGTTGCCATGGCATTCAGAGTTCTGCATGGAATTAAATTCTTTGAAGAATTTATAAAGGTGACCACCAAAGGAACATTCCTGTGAAGTTTGGATAAAATTGGCTTAGCGACATATTAGAAGATGTCGTTTAATGTAAAAAATTATAAAGGACAGACGCCGGACGAATTGGATCACAAAAGCTCCCCTTGTCACTTTGTGACAGGTCAGTTAAAAACAATAAGAAATACTGCTTTGTTTAGCTTGATTGTTGGTAACCTACCATTAAAATTTAACAAGTCTTACTTACGTGCGTATTGAGGTTCGCGGGTGGTTCTGGACGGTTGGCTAGCTTTAGCGCAGGCGCAACATATAACTATCACAAAAGTTAGAATTACACCGACCACAATACCAATCATTTTGCCAGTATAGCTCGATTCCTCATCATCATCTCCGTCATTATAGTCGGATGTCCAAGACGTCCAAGACGACCAAGGACTCCTTGTTGTTGTTGTTGGTACTATTAAAATATATTAGTTTATTGAAATTATTGACATATTATATGACCTATTATGTAGCCTTTCATTGGATAATGATATATAACCAGGTTAATGAAAGTAAACGCTTATCTACCACTGTCGCTACACACATATAAAAGCAATCACTGTATTAAGGATCATTTTAAATTTATGCCTATAGAGATTGTCTCCGATGATATTGAACGCTTATTACAAGAATCATACTGGATTCATAAGCTTAACATTTCTTCTCCTTATGGTATGGATGTTAAAGTTTTGAACACTGTATCACTTTATCATCTTTCAACGGGTATGCATGCACATGTTGTATGTTTTTTTTCTAATATCAAGGTTTTTTATTGGATAATCATGACGTTTATATAGTCAATTAATGCAGATATCTCACTTTTCTGGCTAAAAAAGGAAGTTTGCTGTATTATATATTCATTATAAATATTCCTGACTGGTTATATGACCGTAAATATACAATTGTTTGCAATAAAACCCTCCCCTAGCGGCTCGGGCTATATTTTCAAACAATCGTTTATAAAGGACCATATAACCTGTCAAAATATTTTGTAACTAATAGTATTAACGGTTGTAATCTTACAACCAGTGTAAGATGATGGTTATATAACAAACGTTAATACACGGTCATATAGCCTGTGACGAAGCTATAATACTACACGTCACACGTCTTAACCAATAAAAATCGCACATACAATACTACAAATTTGATTATTGAAAACATTTTAACAGATCGAGTATAATCCGCGCATTCTGATCAGGATCCATGCTGTTCGCTTTCAGTTTCTCCACTTGTATAAGATTTGATAAGCGAACAGCATGGATCCTGATCAGAATGCGCGGATGCGCAGGCTGGTCTGGACCCATGTTGGTCGCAAACCCATTATGTTGGTTTTGTCATGACGCGGCTCATTTTTGTTTTTTTTTATGCTGACAGATAAACATGAAAATATCCCATCTTCTTCTAAATTACAAATATATACATGTATATTCTATCAACTTTATCACTTCTCATATTATTTTCGATATATAGCAGTAGGCTGGACAGATATGTATCGCATTCATGGCAATCCTTTTCAATTCATGAAAACCCCGAAAGGGGAGGCAATGTCCTGAATGTTGCCATGATGATAATAAATATCCGGATCGCTCGAAAAAAGTTTCATATAACCCAAAGTAAGTCCAAATTGCTCGATCATAGGTATTTATATGTATATCCTATCATTTGAGTATAGATAGGTCCATATAACCCGAAAATAAAACCATATCGCTAGCTATACATGAATGTTATTATATATGATTATAATTTCACACGTTATAAGACCTGTAAAATGTATTTTTGTATTTTCTGATCGCAGATCAGATAATACATAGCTAACATCCACGGTCTAACCGCAGATCAGAAAATACATAGCTAACATCCACGGTCTAACACAAAATTTCCTAACAGACCTAACAACGCAAATTAGTTCTCACTCAAAACTGCTTAAAAACCAGCAATTTAAAAGAAAACATTTTTTTGTTACAAGTGTCCAACAAATTACTACACATTCAAACTTTAAAAGTAGCGTTGGCTTATAGAATTGTCAATAAATACACACTCACAAATTACGCGGATGAATATGATTTTAATCAATGAAAATGCTATTTTTAGCGATGTCGATTACCCAATACAACACAAATAAATCTGACTGCCGAGTAGTTGAATATATAGTTCCTACATGTTGGACTGTTTGGGCGAGAAGATTTTTGCTAAATTATTTACTTCAATTTTAAACAACAGGTTTACCCTGAACAAAATACCTCGAAATTACCCTAACCCGAAATGCAATGGAAATTCTAAATAAAGAATGACTTGATTTTATTCAGCCTGTGCTGCTTTAAAAACCCGAAATGCAATGGAAATTCTAAATTTAGAATGACTTGATTTTATTCAGCCTTTGATTTTAAAACTTCTCCGTGGTGCAGGGGTAACGCGCTCGCTTAGTGTGTGAGAGGTCTAAAGTTCAAATCCCAGTCGAGTCAACATTTTTTTAATTCTCTTTTTTAGTGTCTTTGTTAAGGAAATAGCCATGATATGCAAGGATAAAGTGTGGCTATCATAAAAAATGAACATAAATTATTTTTGATGCAACTCTAGTTATGCAAAATTATCAAACTCTGTTGCCCTGCAAGATGACTTATAGTACATAAAAATAAACTAATACAGGAAAACACATACAGATATACAGTACGGTTTAGATTGCAAAGATCAGAAAATACCACAGAGCTTGCAGCACTTTGATTTAAGTATTTGGTCAAGCAATGATAATTTGTTCTGTTTCGGTTCATCGACCCATGCATGTTATAAGAATAGTCATATATTCACCAGGCCTCAATAACAAAAATGTTCTTACCATATTTCTTCGTGAAAAATTTTACGTTAATCTTTGCATCATCATTATGAAAATTCGTATACACTATAGTTGATTTAGGATTTCTGTCGCACAAAGGCTTCATTGTAAATTCTGTACAAGTACGGTCCTGAAAAAAACGTTCATTTGATTTATTGAATTCGTGTTAAAGTGACATTTGATATGTGCGTAGCAAAATGGGGTCAGGGTCTGACTCCATGCCTCTGTGGATTATTCAATACATGAATTTTCTATTCGGTCATTATGAAATACATACATGTAGAATCGTAGATACGGATTGACTTTTCCGTATTTCACACTTTTTGTACATGTATCACAGCTGTGAAGGACTATATATCCATAGTCAACTAATATATCAATTACCTCTCGAGCTCGTGCATTCATAGCCTTTTCATGAGGAAAAACAATATACGTATAAGGTTTTTGTACAAATTTTCTTAATGTATTTTACAAAAGATATATAATTAAAGGGGAATTATGTGTTGACTGCATCGAATAGATTATATCTCTCTTTTATTTGCTGTCCAAACCTTGTATTTCACATTTTATATGCAAAATATTTGATAAGGATAATGATAAACCTTCATAAACTTAAAGATGTTATCACAGTCACAGAATCAATTATTATGATTACTGCTTTATAATCAAGTGTTTTGATTTTTAGGAACTGCAAAAATATGTTGTTTATATCTATGTACTATTAAATGTAGGCATGAGTGAAAATGTGGTGCATAAAATTTCAGATCATTTGCTCTCTCCAGTTTTCAGCATTATCATTTTGATAGTTGAAAATGGCCAAAAATTGAAAAACGAAAACTTACGCTTAAATTAACTCATGTTATACATGTACTAAAATGACACAAAATACCATATTTCAGTTTAATTCTGAGTACACTTTTCCATTTTCCGTCGCAAATCTTTCCGTTATATGTACCCCTATATAGAAAATTTAAATTGTGTATTTTAAGGCTTTTGAAACTCAGTGGTTAACATTACACAACACATACTTACTGGGCTAAAACTATGGTATTTGTGCCTCTCACCAATGAAATATTTAAAATGCAATGCACAGTCCACATCAAAATATGGTCCTTTGTTATGTATACAGATCATGCTATTATAATCATCATTTTCTATTTTAATCACACACTCTGTTAAAAATTCCGTCACGAAGTTTTCAAAGTCGAGGTAGAGCTCTTTCACTATCGCAATGTTAAAAGTACGTCCGCATTGTTCACTAGTTACATTCACCCGCATAGCTGAAACACACAAAATAAAACCGTTAGTTTAAATATACCGGAACTACTATCACAATTGCATTTCAAGGGAATTTCAGCTTTTTAGGTTCTTTCGTAATTTTTTGGGAAAATCTGCGTTGTTCCGATCGAATGTGACTGTTATTTTAGTGTTATAGTACCGGTATAAAGCCAAAAGTTAAAGGTACAGAAAAATCGAATAGGAGCGGAACCGTGGTTAAGTGGTAACACGCTGGTCTTATATTTATGGCTAGTAACGAAAAAGTCTCAGGTTCGATTCCCACTCACCCACTTATAATATTTATGGTACTTCTAAAAACTGAAGCCCAATGCCTGTAAAGCAGCGGAGATGCGCCTGGAACGAGGCAACTGTCACATTCACTGCCATGAAAATAACAGCAGCAATCGAAATTCTAAAGAAAAAAATGGAATAAGTAATTGAAAGAAATCAGTTTGTTCCACTATTATATTATAAGATATAGAAACAGTGACTCGTAAAAATAATTCTACGAAACAGTAGACAGACAGTTTGTCCCGTACATATTTGCAATTATATGTTTCGGCTGAACAAAGTTTAAAAATGATGTCCTCCAAGTTTTAAATCTTTGATGACCTAAACAATATATCGATTCTATGGTAGCGTTACTCAATTTAAGAAAACAAATATAAAAAAACCTTTAGCGTTTTTGAGAGATATGCTAATTTTTTCTGCATTAACATAGAAAAAGATTGGATTTTCCCGACTCTTTTTAAGACAACGCGTACTTTATTCAATACAGTGTTGCTACTGTATACAAACCAGCAGAAACTCTATATGTTATCTAAAATGTTTAGTAGTCGGGTGTATTTTCGAGCTAAAGCTAACTGAATTTTAAGAGAAAACCAAGTAAAACGTACCGTAAACAAATCAGTCTTAGTTAATACAGTAGCCTAAATTATCAAAATCTTGGCCAGGTAGATCTAAATAATTATATCAATTATTTAAAACATAACTCACGGCGACACAAACACTTATACTATATTTGTTTACCTGATGACAGCGGAATAATAACCACTAAAACAGCTAACAATTTGTAATTTAAACACATTTCCATGTTTTCCCATCAGATCAATAAACGCGTTAATTTATATTATGTGTACTGTGTAGGTCATACGACCACTGTTATGAATTCAGTACATTACGTTTACAATGAAGGCGTGTTTTCGGTCGGAAAGGCACACTATATGCTGTTTTCCTCTGTTAGGAAATACAAACATGAGTTTTATAATGTTAATAACAGGTTTTAAAGCATGTTAGATGCTTATCACTTGAAGAAAGAAGCAATGAATTAATTGTCATAACGGTACCAAAATGTAAAGAAACTAGAGTATTTTGACTTTGATGTGACCAAAGCAAAATGCAAAGTCTGTATAACTGTACAATTTGCAAAAAGGCGAAAGAAACAAATGATTGGCAAGTTCATGGACCCTTAAGTTGGTTTTAATTTTTGGAAACTATAAGTTTAACAGAATTTGAAAAGAAAACAGCTTTTCAAAGATAATCAAAAGGTTGCAACCTCTCTGGTATTTTCTGATCTTTGCAATCTAAATCATACTGACTATCTGTATGTATTTTCCTATATAAGTTTATTTTATATACTATAATTAATCTTACGCAGCGACTGCGTCTGTAACAGTTTGAGATTGATACATATGGAATTTTGCATGACTAGAGTTGCATCAAAAAATCATTTTCATTTTTTATGACAGCCATACTTTATCGGCTACTTCCTTAAAAAAGACACTTCAAAAAAAAAAGTTGCTCTCGACTAGGATTTGAACTTTGGGCCTCTCACACCCTAAACGAGCGCGCTACCTCTGCACCACGGTGAAGTAATACATATGTAACATGAATAAAAACAAATACATTGTAATTCTAAATTGAGAATTTCCATTCCGTGTTTGTAATCCTTACTAATTTCGATGTATTTTCTTCACTATAAACCTGTTGTTTTACACTGATGAAAATGATTTAGCGAAAATCTTCTCGCCAAAACAGTACGACATGTATATATTCCACTACTCGACAGTCAAGATTTATGTGTACTACGCTCTGGAGTATTCGGTAATCGACATAGCTAAAAATAGCATTTTCATTGATTAAGCTTTACGGAAATAGCCGAACATTTTTCATTGGGTAAAAAAGATATTCATCCGCGAAATTTGTGATTGTAACCTCATATTTCTATTGACTATTCTAAACTTTTAATGCACTGTAATTCGTTAAATGCATACATTAAAAATTATTCTTTATTTTAGATTGCTGGTTTTTAAGCAGTTCTGACTGAGAACTACTTTGCGTTGTTAGGTCTGTCTAATTTGTGTTAGACCGTGGATGTTAGCTATGTATTTACTGATCTTGCGATCAGAAAATACAAAAATATAAGGATTTCTGGGGGCACAATGGGCCTTTAATAATCAGCACCGCTATATCAAAACCAATGTATTCTGAATAAAATATCATAATCGTTTACGTATTCATACATTATAACTTTTTCAGTAATGATTTCTTTTCCCTCAATATATAAAATAGACAAATTTAAATGTAAAACTACAAATTAATAGTCTAAGTTAATCTGTATCGCTGAAATTGTTTTTCCGCCGGATAATTATGCTTTTCGATATGATGCGTTAACCTGTTACATATATTCTAAGAAATAAGTATTCTGTATTTTTTTTAAAGAGAAACCGCTTGTTTCAGCATTTAGAAATTCACAAGGTTTCACTATACAGGAGAAATACTGTGTTTTTCCCCTAAGAAATATTATATTTATGAGTAACTATCTAGAATGAGTTGGTTTTTCATAGGTTACAGCAGATTATCCCACAGTAAAATAATGGAATATCAAAATTAGTTTTTGAAGAAAATGCTACATGGGCTGTTATTTGTATTGGTTTTCTACCCCATGCAGCCACACACAGTCTCGTGGTAATTTAAGGCACCGCGTGAATTAATACGGCGACAAGTTTAAGTTTTAAGTTTCCGGTATTAATGTTTTGCAAAATATAATCGTACTGATCTAAGTTATCAAACGATATGCAAATAATTATATAATGAATAATAAACATGGCTTTATCGGAAGGTGGTTAGGCCTAAAGGCCAATTAAACCTAAAAATGGTATTATTAAACCTAAAAATGGTATTATTAGTCCTCTTACTATGGTGGCTGATTTATAACACCTTTGTGCGTCGTGTCTTCGCTACCGACAGCACGACAAATCGCAAAACGGCGCGTTGTCGCACTGTCGTCTTGTCGCATACATTGCACGCCAAACGGTGCGTTGTCGTACGGCGTTTTGTCGCTATGTCACATAGTCGCTTGGCTCAATTCAAAGGATTGGTTATTTGAATATATATATTCAATATATATATATTGGCGTTCTTTGCAAGCGACAAGATGACACGACGGAATGCGATAATGATATAGGTTGTGTTGTCGCTATCGACAACGTGTAAAGTGTACCAAATCAGCCACCATACATTACATTTCAACAATGTTACTTATGAAACTGAGCAATCTTTTTTTTCTTGCGTTTTTTGATAACTTTATAGTTTTAGTATTTTTTGAATATCCGATCAGGATTTATGTTATTATATGAGCCACGCCATGACAAAAACAACATAATGGGTTTGCGACCAGCATGCATCCAGACCAGCCTGCGCATCCGCGCAGTCTGATCAGGACCCATGCTGGTCGCTATCAGTTTCTCTACTTGTAATTGGGTTTGTAAGCGAACAGCATGGATCCTGATCAGACTGCGCGGATGCAAACGCATTATGTTGGTTTTGTCGTGACGCGGCTCATATGTTGACTTGGTTGGCGTATTAATTATGAAAAAAGAAGTCATAGAATTAAGTTGTTCATTGTACAGCATCAAAACATATGCTTGAGGTGTTTCTCGCTATACTTAAACACCCCTTAATTGATAAGGGAGCAAACATGTCTTATTCTATATGTAATGCATATACATCTCCCTTGAATCCCTCAAACTTACCTCCTCCTGTAATAAACAATAATTAATCATACAATATAATATGATATATAAATTCCTGCCGTACAAAACACTAAAGTTACAGCTAAACATACCATTTATCTGTTAAAATCTCATTTCCTGACGTGTTAACTTTCCTTTTCAGAAGGCATTAATTTATTGTACGAAAGTCACGGCAGAGTTTGCAAGTACTCTCATTCTAAACAACATTTCAAGATTTGTAAAACAGAGAACACAATTTATATGTAATATTAAAGTTGTCACTCAAAAAAATTAGCTCTGTCTTTTAATATACCTCTGTCAGACTATAAATTAAGGTTTTCAGGTGAATATGTTTTCCATTTGAGCCGCGTCACGACAAAACCAACATAATGGGTTTGCGACCAGCATGGATCCGCGCAGTCTGATCAGGATCCATGCTGTTCGCTATCCGTTTCTCTACTTGTTATAGGGTTTGTAAGCGAACAGCATGGATCCTGATCAGACTGCGCGGATGCGCAGGCTGGTCTGGATCCATGCTGGTCGCAAACCCATTATGTTGGTTTTGTCGTGACGCGGCTTATTTTATTATGCCGCATTTACAGAACAAGCATTGCATCTGGAATATTTTCATACCGACCCGTTCCAAGTCCTAGAGGCGCTTTACCCTACATCTAGATTAAGACAGTATAGATCTATGGGGATATGATACACATTTTCAAAATTGCCATGACAATGAATTAAAATAAAAAACGTTGTGAAATGCGTAAACTGTATATATTGTTGTTTTTTTTTCGTCCATAAATCGGACAAATTTCAAATGGAAAATAGTAAAACTGACGCAAACAGTTCTACAAATAGCAGAGTCTATAGAAAAATGACCACCTACAGGTAATAACAATTATTCAAGCTTAGGGGTAATTTAAGTGCCGTGTAGCGCGTGATTTTCATTTTAATGCAAAACACTGCTAAATTTCTCAATCCAATTAGTATGGTTCATGACAAAAAAAGTTAAAGAAAAAAATGACTGACGTTTTAAACGCATAATATACATAAATGTTTGTAAAATCCAAAGAATGTAGGACAAAACCCCACACGTCAAAACCCCACACTCAAAATTTTATAGAATTATTCAAAGTGTCAACAATGTCACTTATTTTATTATTAGTCAATGGTCTATACATGTTAGTAATAAGAGGTGTGGGGTTATATCCACTTTACAAAATCAAAGGTGTGGGGAATAGTCCACTCTATAAAATTTACATGTGGGGTTTTGTCCACTCTATAAAATTTTGAGGTGTGGCGTTTTGACGTATGGGGTTTTGTCCATCTTCAAATCCAAACGCATGTGACTAGTTGAATTCATGTTTTTTAAAAAAAATAGTTTGGGAGGAAAACAAAGATATACCATGCTCAAATTTGATAATATAAAATATTGATAATTTCTACACAATCTCTTTATAAAAATTAAAAAAACATGGTTGCCTTCACACACAGTATATAAATCATGTTATGTTTAAAATTCTACATACTATACTTGGTCACATTATATATTTTTTAAAGAAAAGACAAACCTTACTTGACCAGTAATTGGGAATTCAGCTTCCCATACATTGTTTATTCATTCTTTATTAAAAATTAGACATGTTCAGTAACAATTTCATAGATTTCAATGAATTTATATTATTAAAATATTTTACTCAATGATGAGCATAGTACATCTTTAAAGCCCTTGCCCAGTAGACTGAGCGACCAATTACTGTTTGCTATATACAGCTTGAAATTATGGAAAGGTGATTATTAGAATAGAAAATACAGAAATACTAATAATCCTAAAAATGTCAAACTGTTACTGAAAATGTTGTCTTATTTGTATATAAATGGTAAAATGTTTTCTTTACAAAGTAAATATTTAGGTAGGAATCCTGTTTGTTTGTATTTATGTTTATTTATACTTACCGCCGAAATAAAACATATTGACATATATATCTGCACACTTGTTGGTTCGGTGTTTGTGTCCCATAAAGCTGTCTTCTTATACCATCTTATAAGTCATGTTGAATTCTGCTTAAGTCGGTGCTAGGGGGACGTGTACGGTAACTTGCACTCTCCAGTAGCGTCCATGAGCTCAAAACCATGACTCAAACCGAGCCTGCAACATTTTCAAGTTTGCACGTTTGCAGTGTTTGGCTTTCTTTAGGGATTCTGTGTTTTTCCCTATATTTGTTTGGTAGCGACGACAATTGCATACATGTTAAAGTTACATTTAATAAATTTCATAAAAAACTAAAAAGCGAAATATCATTAATGAATTGGGTTTTATATCGACTCCAGGCCTTATTTTGGTGTCCAGCAACCAAAATGAGTTTTATTAGCATAAAAATGGGTAACCTCATTGTGGCGAAATGGGAAGTACAATTTCTGTTTGCATGAGAAACTCCGCCTTCGGATCATCCCTACATAAATATTTAATCAACAAACATGACTATAAGTAGCAGTCCTAATTTAACGGTATATTTTCGTATTGTAACGGATGTTTTCATACAAATATAATCTTTTTACGAGATGATTACTTTTACTGAACCCCAGGTTTAGTGCACCGTGAAGCTAAAACGGTTGAAGTGTGTTTGCACAAGAAAATATCACATTTGCTGTGTTCCGGATAGCAACTATAAAACTGTGACGTAGCGCATACACGAGCTGATTAAAGTTTTCATTTACATGTTAAAATTCGTATACGAACTTTAGTGTTACCGTGAGGTTTCCCGTTTAAAATCCTAATTTATGAACAATATTTGATGAGATTTACAACAAAACTATTTAACAGGTTGATGAAACTGTAGAAAGTTTGATTTTTATGCTGACGGCAAAATATTTTTACATATTTATTTAATGTAGCTTTAAAACGACTCTTTGCTGGATTACACCTACCTTCGTTATTTACGTCTGATCAACCAATCATCCTATTGTGTTTAGGATGTTTTTGAGAAGAAACCTTAATTGAATGGGCGGCTGCTTCCACTGGTTGTAATAGCGAAAACATACCAAAATCTAGCGACAAATTAATAAGGCATGCCATACTTAAATTAATAAAAAGAATTGTCGATATAAGGTATGATGCTCATGTTTTAATTGTCACTGACAAATTTGTCTGGATTAACGTGCATGAAAACTACAGCTTGGTCTATTTCAGGTGTTAAGGCGTGCACTGTCTACGCTCATCTCATTAAATCCATGTTGCCATGCTCAGTTAGCAACTTAACGTCATTTGACACAATTACTTACTATATTTACATGATACCCATGATGTTGCAGAGATTTTATTCTATAGAAATTGGTTAAAAACCATTAAAGCTTGGAGAAATATGTAAATTAAGTACATATTGTACACCAATACATGCACACTCGTTTCATTATTTCTACAGACTGTACATCCGGAATAAAGTGACAAATATTGACTTTAACAAACGCAGTTTTTAGCAATGTTTGCTTTCAGGAGAAAAAAAGAGAATTTGAAATGCTGCAAATGTCATTTATCTGGAACATTCTAAACAAACATTAGATCGCTGAATGTAAGGCTGATTTAGATATAAGGCATATGATCAGTATCAAATTCTTAAATGATTATGAGAGGATTTTTGCAATTTATCAAGATAACCAAACGGATTTGAAGATTTTATTCTGACGTTGACAAATAAAGAACAATGCTTTCAAAAATTGGATTATTAATGCTTATATTTGTTGGCAGGGTGAGAAGTTTGAATTTTACGGAGGATTCTGTTCTTGATGTGATCACTGGTAGCTTTTATGACTGCAAAGAAAAGTGTGAGGCGCGGGTATCTTGTTTGGATATGTTCTATGATCGTCGGTACAAAATTTGCATCCTGTACAAATCGGACAACCATTCCTTTTCAAGAGAGTTTCCTCATTATGTGAAAGATCCAGCACTAAAAATTGAGCAAGAATATGTTACTGGATGTGATGGATGTTCGCGTGAAAATTGTGTACAGAGAAATAGCAACTATACATGCTTTGTGACTGTTTGTCCTACCCCTGCCAAAATACAAGATGCTGCTATTTTAGGAAACTCAAACTCTGTTGGGGCTAAGAAACAATATGAATGTCGTGCAGAAATGGAAATGCAAAATAAATACATGATTGAATGTCAGACAGATGGGCTTTGGTCTGAGCACAATTTTTCATGCGAAAGCAATAAATGTGAACTACAGGGCTACTCATTATCTTTTGGAAACTGGAAAGCAGAGCGACTCAATCAAACACATTTTTATGCAGATGTCACGTGCTTTTCTGGATATGAATTGCGCATGCCGGAAGTAGCTGTTTGCGATGCTAAGACAGGAGTATGGACCGGACTGGGATGGATTTGCTGCGAGAAATTTACAAGTTCTATTGGTTTGAAGATTTTTTACTATCCTGCATATAGAGATGGAAATGTTTTTCAGAAATACAAGCTTGGGGAAGATTTTAATAACGATGGGTATCGGAAATGGTGTGTGTATAGAAATGCCAGCGTTTTTGAAAACTGGGTAGACTATGCTATAGACACTGTAACGGTACGTGCTTTAAAAAATCACGAAGTTGTTGCAAATTTAACGTTTAATGGCATCGGGTCAACACATATGAATTGGTTTAGAAAGGACAGATTGATAAGAAGTTCGTGGCATGATCTCAACAAAACGACTGACACCCATTTCTTTGGCATCAATGGTATAAATAATCTGTTGAAAACACAGCGATTTCTAATCAGTGAAAACACCGAAACAGATGATTCCTGTTGGAATGATAAAATATGGTTGGCCATTACATGGAGTGATAATCCATGCGGAGACACGTCGAACTATGGTGCTCCTAGAATACTTTACGCTGAAAACAACACTGTCTCACGGCTTGTTGTAGATGAAGTTGGATTTGCAGATATGCTTGACATCTGGATAAATCTGATCGTGTGAAATTGTCTAGATTTGTTAACACGGGAATCAACCTTGTGTATGCCTGCTTGCGTGTTCTCGTGTCTGTCGTGTTTGTTTGCTTTCTGATGTTTCTGAAGTCATCTTGCATTTGAGTAATCTAATACCGCATATACACATTCTCCAAATTAGAAAATTTTATTATTAAAGATGTGAAGATAGGATATTCAGGGAAATAAATCTCCAAATAAAACAAAGGATATCCAGAAGGCTTCGAGACAAATGGAATCATTTCTATAACAATTAATTTTTATCAAATCTAAGTTTGTTATCCTTGCAGTGGTCATTTGTTTTGTTACCAAAATAATAACATTCGTTTTAAGGTAATTGGTTTCCATTACAATCCATCTCTTGTCGAACGGAGCACTTTGCTGTCTATCATTTGTGAAGATCTCTGCATGTCCTTGAATTAACCAGTGGTTTATTATGTACATACCTTATGTATTTCATAAATTATATCATTTCAGACAAATGGTACGAAATTTCTGATAGTTTGCACAAGAACTAGTTGTTTTATGCGAAAGTTTTCAAGTACTTTTGAATAGGACCTCGGTTTTTTAAGTTCTTGCCAAAAAAATAGGCAATGGTTCAAAAGTCGGGTTTACATGGCGTAGATCAGATAATGCAAGAAAACGAAATAGCTCACAAATGAAGTGCGCTCCTATACAAACAACTTATACAAAGTGTTTGAAAAAAACGGCTCATATACTGAAGGAGATCTAATTTTCTTCGTCAAGCTTATATTTTCCACCGTAGACTGGTGATTATCCCAAAGAAATTGGTACAAAAATAAAATGCTGACGTCTATCGTCTATATCGAATCGAGCCACATGATGCCGAAAGTGACGTCAAGTCACATAGTATTGCTAGACTGAAAAATACTTGTAAGTATTTTAATTGGAGTGGCGGGGTTCGAACGTGACTGATTTTGTATTTGTTCCAATTATAATAGTTCATGTTTTTAACATTGATTTCCAATTATAATCGCTTTCTTTGATTGAAATAAAATGAATAATGATCTATTATCATTACGATTGTCAATTCCCATTAATGATCATGTGAACTAAATATTTCTTTCTGTTTTCAGCTGTTTTGCAAATATATTAAATTTCCTGAAAGAAACATTTATGTTATAAGCTAGTGTCTGAAAATATAAATATTAAACCGCATGGTGACTGTATTAAAGGCGATGTACTCAGTGATGTGTACGAATAAATAAAGAACACTCTTCATTTTTCGTGGCAACGAGGCGTTATCTTGGACAACAACAAAACAATATCATACTTTAACTAATTTTATTTTATAGTCATACATAGTGGCATTTGTAATTTATCTCACTGAGTAATGTCTTAGTTAATCTTTGGGATTTTATGAGCACGACTCCATTAATAAAAGCCAAAAGGTTTGGATACCGGGCATACAAAACCCTGTTAGGGCATCCATAGCAAAGCAAACAAATGACACAAAATCAAAACAAGCAAATGGAACAAACTGTATAGCTTTTTGGAACAGTATGTTCTAGAAAATCATTGATCAAAGCTGTTCAAACAATACTAGTCTTTCAATTCTTCATTCACAAAATAGTCAATTTTCACAAATGTATATGAGCAACAACACAGCATTGACACTGTTGCGCGAAATTGGTTCTGGGAAGCAGAAACCAGTATCGCTAGTATCACAAAATGTCTATTCGCCGGCCGCAAAAATGCAAATTTAGCAGGCACAACATGAGAAATCTAGTATTTGAAAGTTCATAGAACACATCTCTTGAGTCGCACCGTTGTCGAATTCTCTCTGCTGGTGGTTTTGGCCCAAGCAGTTCCTAAAGATACCTCTTCCGTGGTATTTAGTAGGGCTAGCTGTCTTGAAACACGTCGCTTATGTTGGCTAATCTGAAAACATATCGAAAGAGGACAGAAACAACGAAACAAGCATGACCCTAGTATTAAATTTAAGCTCAAATCTTTGACACTTCACACTCATAAATGACCGAGGAGGGCGGGTGGGTTTTTCAACAATTCATTTCTTCCATTGTTACAATATTCGACGCCAGCGTTAAAAGGATATGACGTATATACAGTACCTACGTCATAACCAGGGCAGGGTATAAGTTGTTCCCCAAATAACAGAGACTATTCTATAGAAATAGTCATCATTAGGCAGGGAGAATCCTGTTCGCAGATGATTTTTAGGATTTTCGTTTATGAATTAAAAAGTAATATTAATCTTGACAGAAATGAAAAATTTACCAACAGAGAACTTTTTATTTTGATGCTTTATGCGGACACCAGGTTGTATTTGCTAAATAAGCGGAGTCATTGCAAGCAATGCTTCGTGACATTGAATAGCATTGCACTATCTGGGGCTTAAAAATAGATATAAATAATATAGGTAAAATAAGGTAATAATGTTTTGAAAGTACGTTTATTATTTACGGAGAAAGGCTCGAAGTTGATTAATCATTGAAATATTTGGGTATTAACTTAATATGTAAAAGGGGCCAATATCGTTGCCATAAAACAATACCTCAGCACGCAAACTTTGCTATGAATAGATTGTTGTTAAGTTTTCACAGAATAGATCTACTGTTACGGATCTTCAAAATCCGGCTTTTAATACTGAAGTCAAATGACAGTAGCATTATAAGTCAAGTTGATGACATTCTTAAATATGACCAAGACAGTGGTGTACTTTATGGGGGTACTGGGCTTATCAGGTTAAAATTGTACTACCGGAAGTTGGGCTGAATTACCATAAGTTGTTCCAATACGATATTATTTATCATATATCGATTTCAAGAAAAGACTATTCGGCGCCTTTTTGTCAGTCATAATGTAGCGCTGTTTACAATTCTAGAACATTTGAAGCTAATTTTTTATAATATTCATTCAATCAGGAGAAATATATAGACACCGTAACGATTGCAAAATACCGCAAAACACTGTAACACCGCACTTTTGCGGTCATCGCCTCCCAAAGTACGGTAAACTTCACAGCGCAACTTTAAATCAAACGAGAAATGAGCCCAAAAGTGCGTTTATATGCTACACATCATTGCACTTTGGGTTCAAAATTTCTGAAGGCGTCAACTGAGTCATGAACTGTGTTATTTTCAATCTGCAACCTTGAAATATTTAAGGTGTAGTTCAAGATCACTGTCAATATTATGCAAATCAGATAATCTGACTTAGTGCCATTTAAATTCTAAAGTAGCAGTAAACAATGTATTTGTTGATAATAAAATGTAAGTGATAAATGTTTTATGAATTTTACCACTTTAAATATCGGAAAATTGTAACAACCTATTTAAATTGAAAATGTATTTCTAAAAATAGCAGATGTGCCGAAAAGTATTCTGTTTACAGTGACCTTCGACGGGAGAAAAGAAAAAAGGTCATTATAGACAGGGAGTCACTATGAAAAGTCTGTACAGACTTCAGATATATGAACATATTTTGCCAATATTTTGTTGAAAAGCAGAATAGTACCATACCATGGGTTTATTTGTATTTTTTATTTACATTAAACATATATTAAACATTAGTACTGAAATTGCATTTATCATTGGTTAAGATTATAAACTGCGGCATTACATTAGTATTTAAAAGTTAAAATGTAATTCATATTGATAAATCTGTGTGTAAAAAAAACTTTGTTTAAATTCAATTTTACTAATAAGGTACAATATCTACAATAAAACACATACAGTAGAATAAAAATGGATAACGGTTTAGGATTCTGTATTGATGTACATATATCAAACATTGTTGGGGAAAAAATGGTGTTTAATTTATTTGAAACCTTTAGTTTAATTTTTTATGTACACATTCTGGTTTTCCAAACCGTTATATCCACCTTCTTATGTCCTTAACTTTTGTTTTTGCCTTGCCTCCCTCATCTTTTGATTTCACTTTCTTATTTCCTTAAAGCCCCATTATGGCCCAGATATGCTTTAATTTTAATTTCTTAAAAACTTTTAATTCTTTGGTAACCCCATTCGAGTAACTCCTTTTGCAAAAGTCGCTTTGCAAAGCTTTTATACTGTAACGGGAGACACTAAATCATGTTCGCTGTACAGGCTAGACAGGGAGTCGCTACATAAAGACCATTTATATAGTAAATACTGTTCGGCGCTCCGAATTATGGTCACTAAAGACAGAAACGTCGCTATATACAGGGGGCCACTAAGACAGTCTTTAGTTGATAAGTTTTGGGACCATATTTACCAAGAAATAGAAATTTTTGATGGTGAAGAAATGCAGTGAAGTAGATATCATCCCAATGCGAATTATTTTCAAATAATTCGATTTCTGTTTAACTGACTTAAAACGAGTTAGTTACAAGTAAAAACATTCATCAAAGTAAAATGTTGCGAGGGCAGCAGCTGTAAATTGATTTCAAACCCATTTTACAATTTTTCGATTTTTTTAATATTAGGACACAATGACATTACTCATGAAACGTATACAATGTCGAAAATCATTAAATGTGTTTAGAAATAGAGGATATCGGATGAGTCTAAGTTTAATACTAAATTTGAACGATGTTGGAATAAAATCATATTATGCGCGCCTCTGGCGAGCATAATATTGTTTCATTCAACGAGTTCAATAAATTTAGTATTGAATCTACACGAAAATAAAATTCTATTTATCACATATTCAAAAGAACAACAGTATACAATTAAAAAGAGCCATTTTTCTTTTGCACGCGTACAATGTAACGCTAATATTAGCACATTTTATTATGCAAAATGACGTCCAGTCAAAGTGTAATTACACAAAGTGTAATATCGTTTTTTATTGTTTGGGTCGTCAGACCAAACAAATAATGGTAGCGAAATTTTCAGACCCTGATGTTCTTATTTGCAAATGCCGGAAGTAGTCCAAACTCCACGAAGCGGTTACTTCTCGTAATAACTTCCGTTAATATGTACATTAACGCCGAAAAATTAAGGGGAGATCACTGCGTACAGATTGTCAAATGACAGGCGCATTAATTTTCGTAACGAAAAAATAGTTCCCGATTGATCGAAGATTTCTAATATTGTGTTATTCTTATAGATATACATGCTTATATTCAGCTCCATGATTATTATATTGTTTAAGCCAAATAAACA